GTATCTTGTGAAATTCATATTTTATTTGTTCCTCAATATTTACTCCCTAGACACATCCCATTTTATTGGTACTTCACTTCAGCACTTTCCCGCTCGTTGCTTGCTTCATATCCTCTCTTTTTGGTGAGTCTAGAAATTGATTTAAAAAGCTGTTTCTTGCCTTGCTAGGCATCTCATTCTTGTGTATGTGCTAGTTGTTCAGTCACAGTGTGATGAGATATGCTTGCTTCTTAGATTGGATGTCTACATTTTTCAGATTCTTCTCTATTGTCATGGTTAACAACTCTGGAGTGCAATGTAGTGGGTATTATATCTTACTAGAAAAGTGGCCCCGAGAAATGTTTTTTCTTTCGAGCTTAAACTGAGATTATGTTTAACACTTGTTGAAACTTGAGAAAAGTTTACAAATTGAAATTAAATCGAGATTATGCAAAGAAAGGTACTTGGGTACTTGCCGAGGTAAATTATCAGTTTGTATAACCGAAGTGTGTCACCCCGAGAAGGTTGCACAAAGATTGAAGTGTATATTAAAGATATGCAAATTATTTTTAGTATAGAATCGTACAAGAGTAAAAAGAAGACACATACGACCACGTTGAAGGAAGAAATTAAAGAATGCATTCAGAAAAGGAAATAAGGCACTTCGGCCTAACATTGAAGAATGATTGTTTAGATTACAAAAAGGCTGGTGTGAAGTACGTCGGTGTCAGACGGTGGTAATGAGCAAAGAAGTGCAACGAAAGCAGCAATAAAGGATTTGAGAGAAAAAAAATTTTTTGATCAAAAACATGAAAAATGGCAAATATGGTGCCTTGGACAACGTGCTTGACAGACGGCGTGCGCAAAAATGATGCGACTTGATGGCGCGTATCAGATCCGGTCCAATAAGGGAAAGACACATGGTGAAAACGGTTGAAATACTGTGTGTACCAGCTCATACGCATGCTGGAACTCTTGGAGTTCTTGATTCAATGAAGCAAATACCTCAGCTAGGAGGACGATTTCAATTGAGAAACTTGAACGAACTTGGTCGTTGGTTCTAAAGCATTTATGAAAGCAGACTATAGGTCTTGGTCATATTGAGCCAACGGGTTCTGACTTTGGCAATAGATGATGAAGCGAGCTTAGCCGACGTTCTAAATGGAAGAAATGATATAGGTTCCATCACCTTAGAATACCGAGGTAATAGAACCTAGGGGCCAATTGTGGGGACATAATTTCTGAATGACAACACGTGGCCGAGATGACACCGAAGTGTCAGCCGATGTGTCACATGTCCTAGTCATGATGCTAAGATGATCTCGGCTAGGCCGAGGTTATCTGCAAGAATACCGGAATCCGAGATAAGCGGATAAGGGACAAGAGTGCTGGAATGGGAGAAGACTTCAGTTTGGGTAAAGATGAGACTCTTAGAGAGTTTTATCCTAATTCTACTGGGAGTCTAAGATTAGCAGTAATCCTAAGTCCATTAGAGCTAGGCTTCTATTGGGACTAGGATTGTGTTGGCTATAAAAGGGAGGCACCCCCATGGGTCTAAGGTATGCTTTTGATATTCTATCTAGTGAGTTAAGCACTATTGGTTATCTTTGAGAGATATTGAGTACTGACTTGATCGTCGAAATGTCCCCAGGTGGACGAGTCACCGCCAGAATCTTCTCTTTCTGTTGCAGGTCAGACAAATGCCATCTATTCTACCAGTGCTCTCCAGTTGATTACTAAGTTGGCAGCGTGGTCAGAAAATCACACACACACACCCTTTAAAGGTTGTGTACCATAGTCGTTCCCCTTTATATATAAAATACATCTTGGTTGATTTGAGGAATTGATATGAATTTGGGAAGGCAATTATGGCCAAGAACAGTAACCTTCGAAGGATTTGGCTTGAAAAATTTAGAAAGAAGTGAGATATGTCAACTTAAGGGGTAGTGCATAAATGCTTTATTTTAGCTATATTTAGACTTGGGTATTTTAAGGATGTTGAGGCTTGATTATTCTTGTTAGAATGTTTTGTTTGAGTTACTTTGTTTGTTTGGGGACAAGCTTCGAGACAATTGCTAATTGCTTTGTTTTGGTTTGTTTCATGATATTGATAATATGTCATTTTGATTTTTTTCAAGGTAAATTTTATAACTCTATAATTGATCTTTGTGATTTTATTGTTCTAAAACTAGTAGGATGTCATTTTCAAAGTTTAGATTTTTTTTTTTGAAAAATATTTTGTTTGTACCAAACAGTAAAAAAGAATTTTTTGAAAAATTTTTTTTGGTGTTAACCAAACACAGGAAATTAAAAACGTTAAATTTTTTTTTTTAAATTCCAAAAGCATTTTACATGAAAAATATTTTACGACAAAAAATATTTTATGTCAAAATAAACTGAGTTTTAATGTTTGTAATTTTTTAAGATTTTTTTATTCTATATTTTAAAAAGTGCAATGCATTGATTATAATAGTTAAGGGCTCAAACAAATATAAATTTTTTTGTATGGAATTTGAGAAATTTGAAACTAACCCCTGCTCTTTGAGATAAGTTTGAGCACATGTTAGAGATGAAAAAATATTAGGAGTGATACACAAATTAAATAATTTGAACTTGACTCATGCTCGACTTGTTAAAAACTCATTCAAGGTCAATTTGTAATGTAAATAAGTTAATCTTGTACACATTTTAGAATTCGTTAAAAGCTCATTCGAGCTCAGTTTGTCAAGTAAATAAGCCAATCCTGAACACATTTTGGAGCTCGTTAAAGTTTACAAATCATGTCTAAATAGTCAATTGTTCTTTCAGCTTGGTTCGATAAGCTTAAAACTATACAAAAATATCAAACTATTCGAGTTGGGCTAGAAATTTTAATGAAAGCTTAAACAAAATTTTAAGCTTGTTAAAATTTTCAAACCAAGTTTTAACGGTTAATTATTCGGCTCATTTGACTCATTTATCACTCTTAGAAAATATCTTTACGCTTCAATCTTGCCCTTACACTCCATTTGGATTTTGAGGTGAGGAAAAAAAAAAAAAAAACAAACAAACAAACAAAAATATGAAATGATTATAGTTTCTCATTTAGATGAGAAATAAATATATATATATATATATATAATATTTTCTATCATGATTAGTTAACTAAGAATCTGAGTGACAACTTTTTTTCTTCTTTATTTGCATTTTAAGAACAATCTTCGTATTATAAATATTTTATAACCAATCAATTTACTTCTCACTTAGTTATTTTAGTTCATTTTTTGACTTTTTTCAAAAAGACGTATCGAAAAGTAGAGAGATATGTGACAATTTATAGTGATTTTTTTTTCTTTTTTAGCTAAAAGCCAAACTAGGCCTACATCTCATCACTTTTGATAAAAAGAAATAAACCAAATATGAGACAAAATTCTCTTTCATATCATTTTCCACCAAATCAACCAATCCAAATGGAATGTTAATTTGGTACTACAATCATTAGGCCTGGACAAATATCCATTTGGCCTACCCATTTCGCCTAACCCGATTCAACCCAACCTTAAATAAATTGTTTCAATGCAACGAGTAAACAGATGCGGGTCTAGTAATTTCAAAAAAACTTGAATTTCAATTAGGTAGCAGATATACGAGTTTTAATTTGCCAAACCCTATCTAACTGCATAAAATTAGGAATTCTTCATAAATATTGATAAATGTACATATTATTTATTTGTTCAATAAATAAATTATTGAATTTTGTGGGAGCCCAATATGTGTCCATCCACATCGCTCCATGAGTAAACCACAATCTACTATATAAGTTGACTAACTCCTTCAAATTATCACAATGACTTTTCTTAAGAGAAGAACAAAGTCGTGAAGGTACACCCAAAGCAGACAATATTGTGCTAATGGGGGATTGGTTGCTTTATTGGGAGCAGTCTATGAGAACTGCCTTCTCAGGAAGCTAGGCAACTGGAGATCTATGTGAGAGCCCAATGAGTGTCCATTCCACATCGCTTCGTGAGTAAACTGCACTCCATTGCATAAGTTGACTAACTCCTTCAAATTAGCACAAGACCGGACAATATTGTGCTAATGGATGGAGCCCAATGGATGTCCATTCCATATCGCTACATGAGTAAATTACACTTTACTACATAAGTTGACTAACTCCTTCCCATTTCACTACATAAGTTGACTAACTATTTCAAATTAGCACAAGCCCGGACAATATTGTGCCAATGGAGGGTTGACTGTTTCATTTAACGGCGTCTATGGGAACTCCCTTCTCAGGAAGTCAATCAACTGAGGACCTTTGTGGGAGCCCAAAGTGGACAATATTATGCGCACAAGGTCTTTTCCTAAGGAAAGAACAAAACCATGGCAGTACACCCAAAACCGATAATATTATGCTAATGGGGGGGTTGACTGCTTCATTTTGTGTTGTCTGTGAAAACTCCCCTTTTTAGGAAGCCAGTCAACAAAGGACATACGTGGGAGCCCAATGGGTCTCCACTATATAAGTATGGGAGGTTGACTGTTTGAGAGTACGTCCAAAACGAACAATATTGTGCTAATGGAGGGTTGGCTATTTCAAATTTAAAAATGATGTTTTTTACTTTTCAAAAAATCCTAATCCTCACTCCTCATTGTTCAATTAAAAAAAAAAAGATTTTTTTTTACTAAAATATGATTTATTCAGTAAAAAATTAGAATTATTCTCGTAAAATTAGAATTTATTCAATCTTCCAACTCAATTCATATTCATCTGCTAATCCACCAATCAGCTTGTTCAATCTCGAAACCATGAGTGGTTATTTGCACATGAAATTTTCTCAACCCGAACTCTATTCAGTCAGACGGCGAATGGTATGCAAACCGACCGAATTTGATCCACGAGCCCCCTTGGGTCTATTCATCTTTTTAACTAAAGTAGGCCCAATATTGGTATCTGTTCGGCTTGTGACTATGTTTGGGCCCCTTCTGATCAGACAGGCCCACCACTTATTTCACCAGTCTTATTTATTTATTTATTTATTAATAAAATAAAATAAATCAAAAACCCTGAAACAATCTTCAACATCGTCTATACCAATGGCGAACTAGGGCAAAGATTTGAAAGTTTTCTCTCGACCTTGTGATACAAACCAGTGAAACAAATTTAGGGTTAGGGTTTCCAATACCAGTTTCAATGTCTAGTTACGACGACGATGGCGATCGCTACACAAGCCGAGGAGGTGATGATAGCCATGGCGGATCTTCACCGTATCGTCACAAGGTCGGTTTCATTCTCAACTTTACGATTTTAAATTCGCGAATTTAATGATGCGATTACAATTTTGTGTTTTCGTTTAGAGAAATTCATTGGTTGATTGTGTAGATTGTTTCTACGAATTAGCAAAACACTAGTTGATGAGTTTGTGATATTGGGATTCGATAAATGAGAATTAGAAGCTGATGCTATTTTTACATGCTCTATCCACATGACATTCTTGATTTGTTGTGTGAAAAGAGATGAGATGGGAGTTGGGATGTGGGTTAGAATTAATGTTTTCTCATTTTTAATTACCCTTTCCATGCCTCTATCATCGAATTCATTGGAACCACTAAGACAAACAGATCACTGGATCAAGTGCTTGTTGAAAGGTTTGAAAGAACATCTTTTCGTGAAATGCTAAACTCATTTGAATGTCCTGCAAGCACAAGTTGCTCTTCTAAATGTGATGGAGCCAGGGGGAAAAAAAAAATCGAGTTTGGTGGTATGTCATAATGCTGATGATTAATAAAAAAAACTGCCGCTGTTGTCTGTGCTAATGATAACTATGGTGTTAGTTTCATAAAAATTAGCGGTTCTCATTTGCAAGTTGCAACCCATCAGATTTTTTGTTGATTATCACAACCCTTTTGAAGTATTGTGTATATCTTCATTTCCCGTTGTCTTAGTGTTTTTCTGGTAGGTCTTGGTTATGTGTGCCAGCTAATGACTAATTATGTTGAATTATCTCAGCACAAGTCTCATGAATCAATCCATGAAAGGTACAGGACAAAAGATAAGAGCCGAGATCGTCATCCCAGGGACTACGAAGAGAGAAATGTGAGAGGAAGCAGAGGAAGGCACCAAAATAATTATGGTCGTCATACGAACCGCGATTATGGAAGGTGGAGATCGGAAAATATGTTGTCTTTGTTGCTATTCTTGTTCCTTATTTCTCTCTATTTATTTATTTTTGTCATACTCTGTTATTGCATCAGAGCAATGAGTTTCAATTATTGACATTTTGTGGTGAAGATTGTATGCCAGTTTCCTACATGACTACAAGTGGTTTTGGTTGTGTTAACTTGCAAATATCTGTAGAAAGTATTTTTCATCATTGTTTCATAGCAGTTGTTACTTATGCAGGCACCGTGATTATGATCAAGATAGAGAGAGGCATCATAGACATAGATCACGTTCCCGATCAGTTGAAAAATCTCGGAATCGATCTAGATCTCGTTCTCCTTCCAAAAGGTCTTCAATAGCTTTAGCATATATGATCTCTTTGCTGTTGACACCTTTTTAAAGCTTAAAATTTTCTGCATTAACTATATATGTTTCACATATAAATCAATTAAAAATATATAATCCTGCAAAAGCTGTACATCCTTCCCTGTTTAATGTTTATTGATCGTACATTGTTTTCTTAATGGACTAGTGTTATTAAAAGCGATAAGCGCACCAAGGCGCCAAGGTCTCTTGAGGCCTTAGGCGCAAGGCGAGGCGCGGGCTTTATCGAAGTAAGGCGCACCATGGCAAGTTAAAATAATATAATTTAATATGAGATATATAAGCAAATAACTAACTGGTATAACATAAACAAAATACAATATTGAACATTTTAAAAAATAAATACCAACAAATATCGCTATTTTAACATAGACAAACGAGTATAAGCATGCATTTCAAAACATAAAACACGAATATCCATGATCTAAAAGTCAACTAGTTACAATATTTCAAGTTTAAGCATGCATTTCAAAACATCAACAAATTAAACCAACAAAACATAAAGTCTTTGCTTCCATTTATCCAATGAGGATCTAACAATCATCATCATCCTCAATATCAACAGCACACAATTCATAATCTTCTTCTTCATCATTGGATTTGTATCCTTCTACATCTTCCTCTTCTGTCTCTTTTGAATCTGCCTCTTCCTCATCTATCAATTGACGTGCATTTGATGATCTAGAACCCCTTGGCCTTGCCCTCGACCCTGATGGTGTCTTTGAAGTTGTTGATCTAGTTCACTTATTTCTTTCCCGAACACCAGAAGCTCTAGCAACATCACCCTGCGTCAAACTTTCATCATCAAACACATTATCGTTATCTTCATCCTCTTCTCCATCCATCCTCCCAACCAACCACTCGTTGCTTTCATCAATATTTGTTAAAGTGATGGGATCAAGTGTGTCACGCATATTATATCGACGTCTCAATTGTCTATTGTACTTAATAAATACCAAATCATTGAGACGTTGTTGTTCCAACCTATTTCTTTTTTTGTTGTGGAGCTACAAGAATAAGAGAATGTATTAAAATTTACCATATGAGAAGGAAAAAAAAAAAAATGAATTCACCAAACTTGAGGTAGATGCTCACATGCTCAAATACACTCCGATTTCTTTTACAACCAGATGCACTACAGGTTAAGCTAAGAACTTTTATGGCAAACTTTTGCAAATTTGGGGCTAAAGAACCATATGCAGACCACCAATCAGCTGTGAATTGCAACTAATTTTAGCACAACTAGAAATTTTGATATAATCTAGAGGCATGAAAAAGTTAATGGTGTAAAATAGATTACCTGGTGCCCTTGTCATTCTCTGCCTAATTGCTAGTGGCATCGCGAAGAGACCTTCAGATTTTGTATAAATACTCATTTCTTGAGTGATTTTATCTTGAATGTCAGTGCCTGGAACCAACCTTGACACACACTTATACAACCCTGACATGATTTCAGTATCATGCTCAATACTTGGATTAGAATAGAAGAACTCCAGATTCAAAAAATGGCCAGCTGCATGAAGAGGTTGATGTAATTGGATATTCCTCCTATTGTCAATGATTTCAAAGATGTTCTTGTATTTTTTTTCTTTTTCATTAAATGGCTTTGCAATACTTACTTAAGCCCTATCCATAGCCTCATAAATGTATCCCATGGCAGGTTTTTTCTCAGAATCAACCAACCTAATCACATGTACAAGTGGCCTTGAGACCTTAAGAGCATAGACAGTCAAATTCCAAAATGATGGCATCAACATAATCTGTGTTGCTTGTTTACCCTTTGGCTCCTTTGCCCATTTGGAGCTTGTCTCTTAATTCTTTCTTATAAGGATCATTGTGATCAATTGTTGTTTGTTTTCCTTTTCTATTTTGCACCACAAAATCAGGATTGGGTGTGTAGAATACATCGATGGGCCCCTTCTTCTTCAACCTTTTTGATCCAGCAAAAGAACTATTTTGATTGCTTGGCAATGATTTACCACTTGGTCCACGAGGCCGATGAATCTCAAAAGCAATGTCATCTTCATCCTCTTCAAAATCATTGGTCATCTCATCAAAATGAGGCAACAAGTCCATCTGCTCTTTCTGTGTTTTCTTGTTTCCCATATACTCTTTTATCTCTTCCCTTACATCAGGTGGACATTTTTGACAAGCTGTGACATTCCTTAAACCTCCAACAAGATGTTGTTTGACTTTGTAAACCCCTCCATTAGATACTTTACCACAAAAATTACACTTGAATTGATTTGGGTTCTTAGGATCTAACTGATGTGCATATTTCCATGCAGGATCTTTTCTTGTACTTTCAGATGCCATCTAAATCATAGAAGTAGAGAAGAAATAGAGCAATTCAGAATTAAAAAAAAAAAATTAAAAAAAAAAAGGTTCAAACAGACGAGGAGAAGGCCAAAAAAAAAGAAAAAGCGAAAAAAAAAAAGAAAAAAAAAAGAAGAAGGCAGATAGGTATAAGCAAAAAAGAAAAGACGAAGAAGAAGACTAACCAAGAGACGAAGGAGAAGAAGGCGAAGAACAAACGAACAAGAAGAAGAAGAAGAAGAAGATGAAGACTGACGAACAAGCAGACGAAGAGAACAGACGGAGAGAAGGGGAAGGAGAGACGAAGAAACAAAGAGAAGAACATACTTGCACATTCTGGACTGGAAGATGACTGAGGCTTGCGTTGGAAGATGACTGGAAGAGAAGAACTTCTTTGGAGATTTGGATTAGGGCTTGGTGTTTCTTTCGTCGTCGCTGATTTGGGCTAAATCTTCAAGTATATTTGAAGGAAATAATCTACTGTAGCTGACCCATGAAATCTTGGTGGTCCAATTTGTATGAAAAAAAAAAAAAAAAAAAAGCCCTCAAGGCCTGCGCCTTGGGCTTAAATGCGCCTAGCTCGAGTCGTGCGCTTTAATCGCACCTTAGTGAAATCGCCTCGCCTTGACCACTGCAAGGCGCAAGGGATGGGCATGGCTGGGCTTTGCGCCTAGGCGCACTTTTAATAACACTGCAATGGACAAATTGTTATGATAGTCGTTTAACATCAACTACTAATAATGTGATGTTTGGTCATTGAAAAATTTGATTACCTTCGTTGACATTCTTGGCATAAACTATTGTTACCTTTCATCTATTTGTGAAGTAAATTGATGGGATGTGTATGAAACTGGGGAAAAAAATGGGGTGTGTTACTTAAATAAGGTATTTTGTCATACACCGTATATAACAGAAAGCTGTCATTTTAAGTGTTAAAGCTGAAGTATGTTTTTCTCAAGTCACTTTTCAATTTGAGTCCCTCTTCTTACACTTTTGGGATCCTCCACTTGACATACTTTTGAAGTTGTTGGTTGATTTGAGCATCTAAGGTTTACAAATACCCTCCATGTGCTGAATCTTGGGCTCATGATTTGCCTAACAAACTAGAGCTCAAACACATTCATTCTGTTCTTTATTTTTTTTATGAGCTGGCTTGTGCACAGCATACTCTGAGCTTCATAGCAAGTATACCAGCATAATTGCATGTTCAAAAGACATTAAACTAAACTTAGTGACCTCTCGTATGTTTTATTCTTGAAATATTTTTTGTATATCCCTTTTGTGTTGGTTTGTCTTCTATGGAAAATTTTGAGAAGTAAGAGTTTTTCTGTTCAATAGGTTAGCAATTTTACCAGATGGTGTTATCATGAATGAGCTTTTGTTGCATGCTGAGCTCTATATCAGTGTGTCATCTTCTTTCACCTATAATTTTGCTTTATTTTGTTCTCTTTTCTTTTCATTACTACGTTTTCTTTTAATCCCATTTTTTGTTATATTCTGTTGAATCCAATTGTGTACTCCAGAAATAAATAAATAAATAAATAAATAAGAAAGAACAAAGGAACTAAAGTAACAAGAACATTTTGTAATTTGACAAAAGTTACATTGGAAAGTTGTGCTGCTTTTATCTTGACTTTGAAGCTGTTTCATTGATGGGTACTTTGTTGCAAATGTATCTTTTTTCTACAGCAAGCGGACCAGTGGTTTTGACATGGCACCACCTGGTGGTGTGGTTTCAGGTTAGCCATCTAGCTATCAGCTTTCCATTACTTTTTAGTTATGTAACATCATGATATTACAGGAATTTAGAATTTTCATTTTGCAGTAGTTTGTTATTTATTTTTTCTGTCATGCATATTGTTAATTTTTTTATTATCTAATTCTTTATTACCGAAACTAAAAACTATTGTTGTGTTGTTTGGCTGTTGTGTGTGGTTGTTTGTTTGTCTTTTTTGTTTATCATTTGGGTAAGAAGGCAATGTTGGGTACATGTCCTACTGTGCTACCCATGGACGTGACACCACTGTAGATTTTATGTTCAACGAGGAACCAATGCACCGATTTGCTGGAACTTGTTCGCTTTCAACCGACAACTGTTGTTATTTGGTAGACTTACGAATATTTCCCCAGCATCTGCACTGCTGAAATTAATTTCTTACTATATTACGTGAATGATATTTAATGTTAGGTATGAAATAGTTTTTGTTATTTGTTTATTCTAGTGCATTTGAGTTGCGTTGATATAGATAGTTTTAGGGTTCTGATGTGTTGCTTCTTTACACAGTGGCAACACCTTGCAATATGTCTTCTGTTTGGTGCTTCATGCCATATTTACTTATTTTCTCAATTGTTAATTATGCAGCGCAATTGCTAGGTGTCCCTCAAACAATGCCAGGAATGCTACAAAACATGCTTCCTTTTGGAACAACACAGGTGATAATGTTTATGATCTATTCATGGCTACTTATGCAAAATCTTTTATTTGCATCCTTATGTTGCTAACTTAAGTGGACTTTTATAGGTTAATCAACTGGGTGCTCTTTCCTTAATGCCTTTCCAAGCCATGACTCAGCAGGTAGATGTGTGCTGCTTCATTTGTTTTGTTATTTCCAAATAATGAATTTTTCTGCCTTGTTCTCTCTATAGGCTACAAGGCATGCACGCCGAGTTTATGTTGGCGGTCTCCCTCCGTTGGCAAATGAGCAGGTTTGTTGTTAGGGAAACTGGGATTATTGATTATCTACTATTACCCCTGCCCCTTCTAGGATACTGCTTCCAAACTTTGCCACCTGGCATTATTGACTTGATATTATGTAAAAATTCCTTATTAATCTCTTTTCGTTTTTATTTTTAATCATTTTCTAGCTCTTAATATATTTTTATCAGCTTTCATATTTTACCATGTATAAAAAATAAATAAATCATACTTTATGTTATTTAATTTTCCTTTTTCCTTGCCACATCCATAATCCAAACAATATAATTATCCTTTTTTTTTTCATGATTTCTTTTCATTCAAAATGTTTTTAAATCTAATATTTTCTCAATTACTAGGGAAAACATTTTTTCTATCTCATTTCTTTTTCCTTTTCACCTACCAAATCTAAGTTCCAAACAAAGTATTAGTCCTTTTTATCTATTGGTTTATTTAGAAAAATGAATTGGTTTCCTCGCACAATTTTAACGTAGTGTGACATTATTGGGTTTTACAATTGCTTTGTGTTTGTGCTTCAGTCTAAATAAAAATGTATTGATGTTACGGACTTGTATTTATTTCGTTTTTTTGAACGTTTACTGGCTTAAGAACATAGGATGTTGCAGTCATTATTATACATAGATTATAAGTTCCTTTTTATGAGGTTTCTATGTGTTGTATGTCTTGAGTACATAGGGAGGCACGAAAAAGAAATCATGCTTTTATCATAACTGTTTAATGAAACACTCTTCTAGTTTCCAAAAAAATCCATATTTTATCTGCAAAATACTTTTCTTAATGAATGAGAGCTTGTTCTCATGGACTAACAATTAAGTATTATTTCTAATGAATTTTTGACAAATCTAAACAAAACCAAATTTGGCATGGAACCCAAAGAGGTAGTAGATAGACAACCTTAGCCTCACTTTTTTGTAGAGACTGATTTCCGTGACTCAAACCCACACCACAGTGCTGTGGCATATAGCACTTGCCATCACGCAAAGTTCATGAATCAAAGAAATGTATGGGTTTCTCCGGCTTGAATTCTGATTGGTTTTTGAAAGCTACGTTAAGCAGATGTATGTTTCTTTGTACTTCAAAGTTCAAACACCTTATAGCTATAATTAACATGCCAATTTTTCATGTTCGAGGAATTTTGCTTTAGTCATTGTATGGGACTATTATTCGAGCATAATGTATATATATATAGTTTTTGTTCTATGCTGTTCAATTACTTACTGATCATAGTTACAGATGTTTATGATTTGTCAATTCTCATGCTTTGTAAGTATGCCTTTCTTTTTTTTTTTCTTGGATTTTTCAAGCAGACAATTGCAACTTTTTTTAGCAGTGTTATGGCTGCTATCGGAGGAAATTCTGCTGGCACAGGTCAGTTTAGTTCATCAACTTAAAATATGGTGACAAATGCCTTCTGATTTTCTGTCAGATCACAAGGCATCATTCTATATTTGACTGCAGGTGATGCGGTTGTCAATGTGTACATTAATCATGAAAAGAAGTTTGCATTTGTGGAGATGAGAACTGTTGAAGAAGCAAGTAATGCAATGGCATTAGATGGGATTGTATTTGAGGCATGCTAAATTCCAATTCTCTCTCTCTCTCTCTCTCTGTCTCTCTCTCTCTCTCTCTCACACACACACACACCCCAATCACCTGTCAATGTGATGATGAAAAATGGAGAGATGAAATTACACATATTGATGCTATAACTTCCATAGTGTTTTATTTCAACTATTCTGTGTTGATAAGTAGTGAAAGGATAATTGTTAAAATCTTAAAACTAAAAAGGTGTTGGGGTCATTGTTCCAAATCTTTATTGCTTCTAGTATTACAAAACCTCGTTATTTCAATTAAATTTTGGCCTACTAAAATAGAAGGTTGGTAATCATTGTTGACTTGACATTAGGTTCAAATTTGAAAGTTTATGGGGTTGAAATGGTGAACTAGATCCCATATCTGCTGGATACATCATCAGTATGTAGATCTTTTCACCGAGCACTGTCTTTGAATGATCAAAATGTTCACATGTTTTGCAGTGCCTTAAATGTCTTTTGGAGCATTGAACTTGATGAAGGGCAAATTGGTTGCTCCGTGATTGACTTGAACTTTGTGAAGTACTAGTGGTTCCTCAGCTGACATATTTTGTCTTCAATCTTAATAGGGTGTCTCTGTTAGGGTTCGAAGGCCTACAGACTACAACCCTTCGTTAGCTGCAGCACTTGGTCCTAGCCAACCAAGCCCTCACCTGAACTTATCTGCTGTTCGACTTACACCAGGGTAAGATGGTACAGTTATCTATTTTTCCTTGACTATTGCAATATGATTCAATTCACCAAGGTGATTGCAATAGTACTTATGGAGTAAAGTGTGGGAACATGAATTTTTTTTCAACTCATTAAGGTCTTGATGGGAGCTATACTCTGCAATGCTATTTCGTAAATTTGAATTTGTTTGTTTTCTTTTATTTATTGCTTAATGAAACATAAAGTTTATATTAACATTGTGAGAATAGTGCTGTGCGGATGAGTGGCGTGATGAAGAACTAGGACCTGAATAATGCAATAGTCATACAAAACAAGAGCAGTTGTTTCATTCAAGTTTGGTAATCTACGAATCCATGTAAAGGACCAACTGAGTTAGAAAAGCGCTATCAACTTCTAAAGGATTGGATTATGTTCATGGAGAACCCTGCTGTGGACATTTAAAATGTAGAATCTCGGAGGCAATTACATGAAGGGATGTCACTAGGGGGTCTCCTAATTATACATGAAACCGAAGAACCTTCACCAGGAAATCCAGTCTTTTATTCTTTCCAAAAACAAAACGTGTGCCAAATTTCCAAGTCTAACCTTTAGAAACTTGATAATGCTTCCTCTAATGTCCACCAACCTCCATTTTACCACCTCATTTTGCGTGTGCACTGTACAAAATGAATCTGGATTCTATTGGAGTGAACCTTACCTTTTGAATGGTGATTATTTTTATTCTCTCTTCTTAATTGGACCATCATTTGTCGTTATTATGACTTCTCTCATTTTAGATGCATTTCTGCAGTTTGTTTTAATTGTTTATTCATTTTAATTCTGGTAAGACTGGCACGCTGACTCTCTCTTGATTTGTAGTATGATTGGTGGAGTTGAGGGGCCTGATCGTATCTTTGTTGGTGGTTTGCCATACTACTTTACTGAATCACAGATACGGGAATTGCTTGAATCCTTTGGGTATGGTCTAATGGGCTTCAATTAGCCATTTTTCCATCTTTTACTACTTTTAATCTTTAGTGTACTTGGTCATTTTGTTTTCTCTTCGCGGCTGATGGTTGACCTACACTTTTTGAGGCATCAGAATATTCATTTCGCTATCATTTCTATCTTGTTACTTGTGGTAATCACACGTCCTATTGATAAATTCTTGATGTATTGCAGACCTTTGCGTGGGTTTGACCTCGTAAAGGATAGAGAGACGGGAAACTCCAAAGGATATGGTTTTTGCATCTACGAGGTGAATGAACCTGATGTTTACTGACTCTAAATTTTTCCTTGCACTGCTGTCCAAGAAGTTATCAAAGCTCTCAACCTCTGTTCTTCTTCTTCTTATGTTTGACAGTCTCAAACTAAAGCTACATGTTTACAAATTGAAAACTTGCCTTTTCATTTTCTGCTTGTGATATGGGCTTTATGAATTCTTTGTTCCTTCTCTAGTCTTTAAAATTTTAACCAGTTTCTATATATTGCTGGAGGGGCATTCCGTCATTAAAAATGCTGTGTCTGTCATACATTCACTTCAGGATCCAGCAGCAACGGACGTTGCTTGTGCTGCTCTTAATGGCTTGAAAATGGGGGATAAGACCCTAACTGTTCGGCGTGCTTCCATCAGGTTGGTCTTCTTCTTCAATAAAACGAACTTGTATTTATGGGAAAGATAATTTTTCTTTAGCAGTTGCTCTTTGTCAAATTTTTGAGGAAAGTTCATTTGATTTGTGCACTTCATTGCTTTGATTTGGCCTTTCAGTTGGAAACCACAGGAAGTCTAGTTCAAAATTTTATGAAATTGTGAAATATAACCAAATCAAATCAAACCAAACCAAGCCTTAAGTCCCATCAAATGGGGTCGGCTACATGAATCCTTCTTCTCCACGCGGCCCTATCAAAGGCCATTTCATTAGTCAAATTAAGTAGATTCATATCTCTATTTATAACGCTAGTCAACGTTAATCTAGGCCTACCCCGTCCCCTAACACTTTCATCTACTGTTACAGCATCGCATCTCTTCACTACTGCCTCTGTTGGTCTCCGTTGAATATGACCAAACCATCTCAAACGATTCTCTCTCAACTTATCTTCTCTCGGTGCTACTCCTACCCATTCCCGAATACACTCATTCCTAATCCTGTTCTGTCTAGTCTTACCACACATTCACCTTAACATCCTCATCTCAGCCACACTCATCTTATCTACATGTTGTTTCTTGGTTGCCCAACACTCCGTCCCATACAACATAGCTGGTCTAATAGCCGTTCTATAAAACTTACTTTTTAGTCTAGTGGATATTCGTTTATCGCACAATACCCCAGACGCAGTTCTCCACTTACACCATCCCGTCTTAATCCTATGGGCCACATCTGCATCAATCTCTCCCGCTGTTGTGATAATCGACCCTAAATAACGAAAATGTTCACTCTTAGGCAGTTCTTGGTTCTCAATCTTCACTTCTCCTCTGCTTTCATTGTTACTGTTACTAAATTTACACTCCATGTACTCTGTCTTAGTTCTGCTTATCCGAAATCCTTTAGATTCAAGAGCTTTTCTCCAGATCTCCAACTTTGTGTTAACTCCTTCTCTAGTCTCATCCACTAACACAATATCGTCTGCAAAAAGCATACACCATGGCACGTCATCCTGAATATTTATCGTCAACTCGTCCATAACTAAAGTAAAAAGATAAGGACTTAAGGTAGATCCTTGGGGTAACCCTACAGTGATAGGAAATGCATTTGTTTCTCCAGCTGGCGATCTAATAGTGGTCATCATCCCTTCATACATGTCCCTAATCACGTCAATGTAGCCTTTTGTCATCCCTTTCTTCTCTAACGCCCACCATATTATATCTCGGGGCACTCTGTCATATGCTTTCTCAAGGTCGATAAACACCATATGAATGTCTCTTTTCTTTTCTTTATACTTTTCTATTACTCTCCTCAAAAGATAGATCGCTTCCATTGTTGACCTACCAGACATAAATCCAAATTGATTCTCTGACACCTCTGTTATGTCTCACAATCGGCGTTCCATCACCCTCTCCCACACTTTCATTATATGACACATTAGCTTAATTCCTCTATAATTATTACAGTTCTGGACATCACCTTTCTTCTTATAGATTGGCACTAAAATACTCTTCCTCCACTCATCTGGCATGTTCTTAGTCAACAAAATTTTGCTAAACAACCTAGTCAGCCAAGCAACTCCCTTTTTACCCAAACACTTCCAAGCTTCAATAGGGATATCATCAGGTCCTGAAGCCTTATTTGATTTCATCTTCTTAAGTGCAATCTCCACTTCAAAGTTCCTAATCCGGCGATAGAACCTATAGTCTTGGTTTATCGTATTACTGATTATTTCTTCCCCTATTGTCGTACTACCATGTTCCTCATTTAACAGTTTCTCAAAATAATTAAATTGTGAAATATATACATGTAAATTTAAAGACCAGTCAATATTAGTTTTGAAGGGGGAAGCAAAACTTGTTATGATATGTTGAGCTCTATCTCTTTTTAGTGGTTCGAAACTCTTATGAGGTTTTTAGGACGGAGTTTTCAGAATGGGAACAAGTTTTAATAGCCTGACATTTGACTTATGTTATTGCTTATCATGTTAGTTTACTTTTTTTAAAAAAAAAAAATTAATCCAAGTTTGAGGGAAAAAATGCCAAATCTAAAAGTTTGATCATATTTTGTTATTCTGAAAGCTGAAGCAGTGTAGCAATGTGTCTTCTGTGAAATAAGTTGGTGTTGGAAACAAGAGGTTTCCAGTTTTATAATGCCATGCCATTTTTATTCTGAAATTAAAATGCATGAGATTTGCATGTTGTTTCTTATTATTTTCTGATAGATCTACTAGGTATATTCTTGTAGCATAGAGTTATTTTGGCCAAAACTATTGTAGCAAATCTGAGGCAAGGGCTTTTTTTGCCTCAAAATGTAGCAGTTTAGTAGGAATCTTTTGGCTTCTATACATTATGGCTGGCAATTGCGTATATACTCTTTAAATTTGAATAGTGTAGTCGTAGTGGCATTTTATACTCTGATATGTTGCTGTAGCATACGAAGTATGAAACATCTTTGATAAAATTTAGCAAGCTTGTTTGATATATTCCATTTACAATGCTGACATCTTATCATTGTATTTTTCAGCAATGAGCTGGTTAACACAGAACACGATAGTATATTAGCTCAGGCACAACAACACATAGCTTTTCAGGTAAGTGATGATGTAATTTTCCCTCCCCGGTTAGCTTTCTACCTTTTCATTGTTTGTTTACATTCCTGACTTATTTTGTAGAAAATGGCCTTGCAAGCTGGTGGTGTGAGTCTTCCTGGAATAGGTGTAGGACCCATAGCATCCACAGAGACTCCAACCAAAGTTCTATGCTTGACTGAGGTATAGTTGACGTCTGAAGGTTAAACATTTCTACTTCCCCGCTCCAAGCCCACCCCCTTACAGTGAGTAACTTTAGTCTGATCCTGCTAATGGTGTTTCATTTTGGGTACCATGAAGGTAATTAATGTTGATGAACTGATGGATGATGGCGAGTACGAGGAAATAGTAGAAGATATGAGGGAAGAAGGGGGGAAGTTTGGTAAATGTTTCATCTCTAAAGTAGTTGGTTTTTGTGTTTTGAGCTATTATTCAGTTTGTCTCACTCTGTGTGTGTGTGTGTGCGAGCACGCGCGCAAATGCATGCATGTGTTTGTGTGTGAATTTCAACTTGTAGAACATATCTTTTCTTGAAGGTTCTCATTTCTAAATAAAATTCAGAGATGGTTGTCTTGAATTCTCTTTCTTTCAGTTCTTTCTACAGAGATGGCTAGAGTTTTTGTTTCCAAAGGAAAAATCTGTAATCATCAGTTGTTTGTATTTTAATAAACTAATGTTTTATTAAAAGACATCTATTTTGAATGGTTTGTTCAAATACGAAAAGAAAGTTTACATTAGCATTATCAGTGGTTATAAATTTGAGCAACTTGAACCTTTATTAATATTTGAAATGGATAGACACCAAATAGCAGGATAGTAGTTTTTAAAAACAGAAAACGAACCTTCAATTTTATTTCAAATATTCTATTTTCAGTATGCGACATTTTAAAGGATTAATACTACTGATTAAGCGACTGTTGAATTATTAATATACTATTTTAACATAATACTAAGTGGCCATTGTGTTATGCTATTTTTGTGGATGAGGCCATTGTATTAGGAAATTTTTATTCCAAAATTGCACATGTTCCCTGTACAATGGCTATAATAGAAATTATCATGTTTACTGCTTGAGGACATATTTACAGCTGATTTCCTATTGCCCGTGTTGTCATGATCTTCAAATTATCATGTGAATGGAAACGTGCACATACCATTGTTTCTTCATGAATTCATAGATGTTAATACTGCTAAATTAATCTTCTTGTACTTGGTTGGATCTTGTAGGAGTCTTGACAGATGTCATTATTCCCCGCCCAGCTCCTAATGGGGAGCAGGTTCCAGGTGTTGGAAAGGTATACTGATTTTGTTCTGTTGAACCTAAACAATAGATTTCCGTTTAGCATATTGAATCCTGAACTATTTTCTTTATGTACATATATTAAAACATCATCTTCTCTAAAAGGTGATATGAATTCAGGGTAAGACATTTTTCTGCTCTACATTTCTTGGTTGTTTGATTGGTTCTAGTTTTTTGAAATCATAGAAGCGAAAGGGTTTTTCTTGAATGTCACTTGAATAGCCCCATTCATAACTTACGATGCATTCTAGGTTTACAGGAGAAGTGAAAATTCAAGATTTAAATACATATTTTGAGGTGGTCACACTTATGAGTCTACTTCTAATTCAAGTGGAGCTCTAATAAAAGGACCCCAAGGGATTGCACTAGTTATACATTCATTACCCACCAAAATCAGGCTGGAAGTTAGTTGCAATTCAAGTTAAATCCCTCTACATTTAAGTATAGTGTGTTTTTATGATCATGTACTGTTGGTGTTATAAGCGTACGCCCCCCCCCCCGGCTGCGCTTACCCCTTTAGGTCGTAGTCTGGGCTTTGATAGATATGATTTTTACCACCAAAAAAAAAATATAAAAAATAAAGATGATCTCAACAAAATGGGAACTATACTTGGTACAAGGGTCAAACAAGTTCAACCTGCACACACTTTTTCCTTGAGGGCAAGATTTTATGTCTATGTTGATTACTGCAAATAAGATGAGAAAAATATGAGACCTGACAGTATATATGTTCAGTGGCCATGTGGTTTCACATCATGTAGGGTTCTGTTGTATCGAGCATGTCCTGATCAGGGGTAATAAGGTGGCAGTTTGATGTTGTACTTTTTCACAAGCACTTCATGCAATCAATCATTGTACATCTGTGCATTCTTTGGACGTTTTCTTGTGGACAAATGTTCATCATGTCCACCTCCTTCTCCCTCGCTTATTTTATTCGTAGTTTTTAGCATACATAATGTTTTGAGCAATCCAACTTTCTGCTTGTAATATGTGTTCCTTTCCTCTTTTTAGGTCAGAGCTGCATTTAAACATGCTTGAAGTCGCTTAATGATGGTTTTCAATTTGCAGGTGTTCTTGGAGTATTCTGATGCTGCTGCTTGTGCCAACGCAAAGGATGCACTTAGTGGCCGGAAATTCGGTGGCAATGTTGTGACTGCTGTGTATTATGCCGAAGACAAATATTACAATAGGGACTACAGCGCTTAAGTCACAGCAAGTGCTCTACTCATTTCATCCTGTTTTTCTTCCCACCGCACAGTTTGAGAAGCACTTCTTAACTGTATTTGTTATTGTATGAATAGCATTTTTTGTGGTGTTAATCAACGAGCTAGTCTTAAATTAATTGCACACTTTCCATCACTTTGAGCAAAGTATTATGATGCTAAGACAACATCAAGAAATATGTGAACCAGCATCGCAGAGTCTAACACTACAAGTACTCTATGAAGTTTTTAGCACCTGAGTTGTGTTATTGTCCACCGTTCCAAATCAACGTGAAATGTTTCAATTCTTGCTGTTTTGAGGGTTGAAAATAGTTTGATTGTATATGGAGGAACGAGGAGTAATAGCTCAACAAACCCTGTCGAACTGGCCCTCTTCTGCTTTTTTCTATAAATTTTCTTAAAGAATCCAGCTGTCTCCTGTTTACTGGAGGGTCCAGTTTTTATGACCGGGTCATCTTAGTAATACTTTGTAAGGTGTATTGAGCAAACCATTCTTATAAAAAATTAAGTTGATTGGATATCGATAGTTACCAGATCGAATCACATTACTCAATCACATTACTCTTTAAAAAAATATGAACAATTATGATTTCAAAAATGAGTTTTTGTTTTCATAAAAATATAGATCAATCATGAGCCTGATAATGTTCGATTAATTTGATATTTTAGATAGATGATTTGCTCGACAAATATTATAAGTTCAATGATTCAAACCAGCAAGGCTGGCCCGGCGTGAGCCCACAACGTGGAAAGTTGATATGGGCTGGAGGCGAATTGAGTTTTAACTTCTTTTTTTAAATATGTAATTGTTTAATTGAAAAGAGTAGCAAGTGAGTAATTATTTAAGAGTGGTTTGGGATGTTTGAAATAAATCTATACGCGACAATCATTTACATCGCCACTAAATCTGCCATCTCCCAACGTCTACAACACCCTCACTAGATCTGCCATCTCCCTGCATCCACGCCCTTAACTCTACCTAATCCGATTGCTATTTTTCACCACTGGGGTATGAAGGTTGTCTTCCGTTTTTGGTTTTGTTTGTTCTTTTGGAAGTTTCCATCGGTGGTTGATTGTAACTTATTTTCTTTGTCGATGTAACCTATGTATTTATTTCAGATTTATTTTATTGTTAATTTTTTTAGGGTGAGTTATACTAATAGTTTATTTTTAAATCTGATATAGAAAACGCCTGCGATGAATACATACAAGATTTATACTATACACACAAAACACTTACACCATCACAAAAGTAAAATTATTTTTTCACTGTAATTTTCCTTTTATTTTTATTTTTATATATATTGGCTTGGTTTGGGAAGTGGGTTGACTTTTTTTTGACTACTTTAGCATGGGGCTAAAAAGCCTGATTTGGGAAGAGCCTTTTTGACTTTTTTGACTTTTTTTATAAGAGAAATAATGTAATAATTATGGATTAGATGTAATGTTTTGTCTTATTGAGATTAAAAAGTCTATTTTATTTTTTATGACTATTTTAGCCCCAAATCCACCCAAACCCACTTCCAAAACAACCCCATTATAATATATACACATGCAAATCATCTTATTAATCACCATAGAATTTCCCTAATTAAAATTATTTTATATATATATATATATTTTTTTTGTTATTTAAGATAAAAAAAAATTAGGCTCAATTTTCAAACATATTGATATGACAATCAATTAGGATATTATAAGTAACACTCTCTCTCATTTATTCTCTAATCATCAACTAATTATTTAACTTATACATCATTGAGTTTAAAAAATAGGTCTAGAAAGTGGGCTTGTATATTATTTTTTAAATCAAAAGATCATTATTAAATTTATTCTTAATAAGGTAAGATGTTGAATGTCAATTATTCATTTATTTAAAAATCAATTAGTTAAACATAACCTTCAACCATTTTTAGGTGAGTAAATTTATGAATAATAATTTAAGAATCTCTACTATTAAGGTCTTATTTGGAAATTGACTATTTTAATTATTTTCTATGACAATACATACAAAAAATAAAGAATGGTATGTAATTTATAATGAATTTTTAACTTTTTAATTATATCCTAACTTCGCAATTATAAATTGATAATCTAATATTTGCGAGGAAATTGAAAGAGAGGAGATCTAGGGAGGCATTCATATCATATCAAAGTTACTTAACAATGCTTTAGGTTTTTCAATCCCCAAAACTGTCACGACCCAAACCCGCCCTTATGGATTTAGCACCGTAACCGGCCAATAATCCGAGATTACCGAAGGCCTGCTTAAAAGTAGTACAGTAATACAGAGTACAGGGGCTGGCGGAAGCCAATACAGTAAACAAATAGTGTCCAATGAGCTGTGACAGTCAGTATGCCAAGAAGACTTTTTATTCAAATATACACAGTCAGACAAAACAGTATATACATATATACAATCGTTCAGTACAGTACAGTCTATACAGTCGTACAAATCAGATATAGAGACAGACGGGGAAAATAAAAACACCCCTAAGCCGTAACTTGACAGGCTCGGAACCTCACAGTGAGGCACAACGGTTGGCTTGACAAAACTGGAGTTTACCCGACGCTCCTAGCTGCAGTCTGGTGCCTGGACACCTACATATATATATGAACAGTGAGCTAAAGCCTAGTGAATAACACAATGCGTAAAGGGGTTAAGAATGAATGTCCTCACAGTAATGAAAACAGTTCATTAAATCAGTATTTCAGTCGTTCAGTCAGTGCAGTCATATGTGGTACATCCATTAGCATAACAGTACAGTAAACAGTAGGTCTTAAAAGACCGAACAGTAAATGATGGCCATCAGTCAGTAACAGTAGTGGTTCCAACGAGGGAACCGACAGAGATCTCTGTAACAGTAACAGTAAACAGTAGGTGCTAAGGATGCCACAATACAGTTCAGAATATAGGACATACATTCATTCAATTAACAGTAACAGTTCAGAAAGCAGTACAGTTCAATTATTCAGAAAATAACCATTTTGAACATATCTTTACACAGATGTTACTCACAGAGTTCTAGGCTACAGTAAAGCTAGAGCGCGTCCCCAGTCGCCAACCCTACACAGTTACAGATTAACACACACTAAGCTACATAGTTGGAAAAATAATAACTTAATCCCTAATTGCCTCGGTGTGTTTCTACATCTATATCCTCAGTAAGATGTCTTAAACTAGGCCTAAGGATTCCTAGAATGAGATGAGGATGCAAAGATGCACTTGAAAAAGCATTTCCAAACTTTTCAGAAAACAGGGGTCACGCTCGAGCGTATATTAAACCGCTCGAGCGGACGTGCAGACAAAGGCTTCCGCTCGAGCGTATACTTACCCGCTTGAGCGTTCTGCAAAATAGTCAAAAGTGATGGATAGGCGAAAATCACGCTCAATTGGGCGCTCGACACCCGCTCGAGCATGAGACAGAATGTCCCGCTCGAGCATCAATTATTCCGCTCGAGCGGACTTCAAAACAGAACAAAAATGTTGGGAGCACGATTTCCACACTCGAGCGTGAGTCCAAATTCTGGAAATTCCAGATTCGAACCTCAAGCTCAAAACCAAGTTTTAAACCATAAATTTCGATCCTCTTGGGCCAATTTTCCAGGAAAACACATCAAAACTCATACTTTAACATGATTCAAAGCTCAATTTGTAAAATCAAAACCCAAGGGTGTTTCAAATAAATCCAATTTCAAACCAATTTTCAAGAATATAAAAAACATGCAAACATGCATGAATTTAAACCATTTTAAAGCTTCAATTTCATGCTCTAATGATCCAATTCTTTCAAAGACAAGATGAAATCATGGACTTAAACACAATATAAACATGCACGTAATATTTTACTATGAAATCAACTCACAACTCAACAATTCAAACATGCATGCATGAATTAAGCTATAACTCAACATTATTGAACCAATTCTTGACTTAACTCTTTAAACTACCATGATCCATGCTAGAAAGGACTCAAATACATAATAAGGAGGATGAAATTCATACCTAGGTTTCTCAATTACAAGTCTAGAGGCTCAATATGCAAGAATCCTTCAATCTCTACAAGACTCTAAGCCAAAATGTGAAGAACTCAAGCTTTCTCTACCTCTCACTCTCTCAAGTCGGCAAGAACAAGAAAGATGGGCTAAGCAAATGTTTGATCTAGGTGTAATGAGGCTCAAAGGTAGTCTTAGATAGTGGCCACACACAATGGCAAAATAGTAATTAAGTCAACAATACAATTTAACTCATTTTAATCCAATTTAATCATACCAAATCACATTGTAACTGAATATGCCATAAAATCACATTAATTCTAAGGATCACAAATCATCAATTAATTTCATATTCGACCGCCGATAAGGCCTTCAATTCGTAAATTTAAACATAAACACAAACAGATAATCAAACGATCAAAAAGATAGACATACAATTGAACAGATATACCCAGTCAATTCAGTTCCAGATTTCAGTCAGTCAGTCAGTTCATTAGTTTATTTAGTTCACTTATCAGTCATAATCAGTTCAGTTTAACGGTAATCAGTAGTTATTCGATAAACAGTGACGAGGGTTATTACAAAAACACTCTCTATCGCATAATATATTTAAGATATGAAAATCTCAAAACATAATACCAGATAAATTAATTTAGTAATAAAGAATCCGTGCCATCCAATAAAGGTATATCATAGAAAACAAGTCTATAAATTTTTTATCCACGTGACAATTTTGGATCTTATCATTTTAAAGATAAAAACTCATTAAAATAATTTATATTTTAAAAATATCATTATCACAATATTTTAGCATAAAATTTTACAAAAATTTATAGTAGTGTTAAAAATACAGATGAATCTCACAAAATGAACCCATTCTATCTCACATATTTAAATTCTATTCTGTAATATTCATCTATACTATTAGGCTTATTCTAAAATTTATGTTTATGGATAATTTTCCTATAAAATATGAATTTGGATAATCTTTCTTAATTACTTATGACACTAGTAAAAATAATTTTTTTATATTTTCTTTGTGATAAATAGTGATAATTTTTTACCTTTTTTCGTAACTTTTTTAATTTTTTTGAGTATTGCAAACCAGGCCTAAATTCCAATTCTCTCTCTCTCTCTCTCACACACTCTCTCACACACACACACCAATCGCTTGTCAATGTGATGATGAAAATGGAGAGAAAGGAAATACACGTATTGATGGTGTAACTTCCAATCGCTTGTCAATGTGATGATGAAAATGGAGAGAAAGGAAATACACATATTGATGCTATAACTTCCATAGTGTTTTATTTCAACTATTCTGTGTTGATAGGTAGTGAAACTCTATAAATAGTGAAAAGGATAATTGTTAAAATCTTAAAACTAAAAACAGTAATGTTAGGTATCATGAAAATTTTGTCATGAAAATAATCATGAAAGCTTTGTAACCCTTGGATTACACTTAGAATAAAGTACCACACAATAATTCAAGGATCATAAATTTTTCATGACAAAATTTTCATGATCCCTAATTTTTTCCAACTAAAAAGGTGCCGCGGTCATTGTTACAAATCTTTTTTGCTTCTAGTATTACAAAACCTCATTATTTCAATTGAATTTTGGCCTACTCAAATAGAAGGTTGGTAATCATTGTTGACTTGACGTTAGGTTCAAATTTGAAAGTTTCTGGGGTTGAAATGGTGGACTAGATCCCCTACTTGCTGGATACATCATTAGTATGTAGATCTTTTCACCGAGCACTGCCTTTGAATGATCAAAATGTTCACATGTTTTGCAGTACCTTAAATGTCTTTTTGAGCATCGAACTTGATGAAGGGCAAATTGGTTGCTCAGTGATTGACTTGAACTTTGTGAAGTACTAGTGGTTCCGCAGCTGACATATTTTGTCTTCAATCTTAATAGGGTGTCGCTGTTAGGGTTCGAAGGCCTACAGACTACAACCCTTCGTTAGCTGCAGCACTTGGTCCTAGCCAACCAAGTCCTCACCTGAACTTATCGGCTAGGGTAAGATGGTACAGTTATCTATTTTTCCTTGACTATTGCAATATGATTCGATTCACCAAGATGATTGCAATAGTACTTATGGAATCAAGTGTGGGAACATGAATTATTTTTCAACTCATTAAGGTCTACATGGGAGCTATACTCTGTGATGCTTTTTCGTATTTTTTAATTTGTTTGTTTTCTTTTATTTATTGCTTAACGAAACATAAAGTTTATATTAACATGGAGAGAATAATACTGTGCGGATGAGTGGCGCAATGAAGAACTACGACCTGAATAATGCAATAAAGTCATGCAGAGCAAGAGCAGTTGTTTCATTCACGTTTGGTAATCTACGGATTCATGTAAAGGACCAACTGAGTTGTTATAAAAGAGCTATCAACTTCTAAAGGATTGGAGTATGTTCATGGAGAGGAGAACCCTGCTGTGGACATTTAAAATGTAGAATCTCGGAGGCAATTACATAAAGGGATGTCACTAGGGGGTCTCCTAATTATACACGAAACCGAAGAACCTTCACCAGGACATCCAGTCTTTTATTCTTTCCAAAAACAAAACGTGTGCCAAATTTCCAAGTCTAACCTTTAGAAACTTGGATAATGCTTCCTCTAATGTCCATCAACCTCCACTTTCCCGCCTCTTTTTGCATGTGCACTGTACAAAATGAATCTAGATTCTGTTGGAGTGAATGTGAACCTTACCTTTTGAATGGTGATTATTTTTATTCTCTCTTTTTAATTGGACCATCGTTTGTTGTTATTATCACTTCTCTCATTTTAGATGCATTTCTGCAGTTTGATTTAATTGTTTATTCATTTTAATTCTGGTAAGACTGGCACGCTGACTCTCTCTTGATTTGTAGTATGATTGGTGGAGTTGAGGGGCCTGATCGTATCTTTGTTGGTGACTTGCCATACTACTTTACTGAATCACAGATACGGGAATTGCTTGAATCCTTTGGGTATGGTCTAATGGGCTTCAATTATCCATTTTTCCATCTTTTACTGCTTTTAATCTTTAGTGTACTTGGTCATTTTGTTTTCTCTTTGCGGCTGATGGTTGACCTACACTTTTTGAGGCATCAGAATATTCATTTCGCTATCATTTCTATCTTGTTACTTGTGGTAATTACAAGTCCTATTGATAAATTCTTGATGTATTGCAGACCTTTGCGTGGGTTTGACCTCGTTAAGGATAGAGAGACGGGAAACTCCAAAGGATATGGTTTTTGCATCTATGAGGTGAATGAACCTGATGTTTACTGACTCTAAATTTTTCCTTGCACTGCTGTCCGAGAAGTTATCAAAGCTCTCAACCTCTGTTCTTCTTCTTCTTCTTCTTCTTCTTCTTCTTCTTCTTCTTCTTCTAAAATACTGCCATGTTTGACAGTCTCAAACTAAAGCTACATGTTTACAAATTGAAAACTTGCCATTTCATTTTCTGCTTGTGATATGGGCTTTATGAATTCTTTGTTCCTTCTCTAGTCTTTAAAATTTTAACCAGTTTCTATATATTGCTGGAGGGGCATTCCATCATTAAAAATGCTGTGTCTGTCATACATTCACTTCAGGATCCAGCAGCAACGGACGTTGCTTGTGCTACTCTTAATGGCTTGAAAATGGGGGATAAGACCATAACTGTTCGGCGTGCTTCCACCAGGTTGGTCTTCTTCAATAAAACGAACCTGTATTAATGGGAAGGATAATTTTTCTTTAGCATTTGCTCTTTTTCAAATTTTGCTGAAAGTTCATTTGATTTGTGCACGGCATTGCTTTGATTTGGCCTTTCAGTTGGAAACCACAGGAAGTCTAGTTCAAAATTCTATGAAAATTGTGAAATATATACATGTAAATTTAAAGACCAGTAGATATTAGTTTTGAAGGGGGAAGAAAACGTGTTATAATATGTTGAGGTCTATCTCTTTTTACTGGTTCGAAACTCTTATGAGGTTTTTAGGACGGAGTTTTCAGAATGGGAACAAGTTTTAATAGCCTGACATTTGACTTATGTTATTGCTTATCATGTTAGTTTACTTTTTTTTTTTAAAAAAAAATCAATCCAAGTTTGAGGGAAAAAATGACAAATCTAAAAGTTTGATCTTTTTTTTGCTATTCTGAAAGCTGAAGCAGTGTAGCAATGTGTCTTCTGTGAAACAAGTTGGTGTTGGAAACAAGAGGTTCCCAGTTTTATAATTCCATGCCACTATTCTGAAATAAAAATGCATGAGATTTGCATGTTGTTTCTCATTATTTTCCTATAGATCTACTAGGTATATTCTTGTAGCATAGAGTTATTTTGGCCAAAACTATTGTAGCAAATCTGAGGCAAGGACTTTTTTTGCCTCAAAATGTAGCAGTTTAGTGGGAATCTTTTGGCTTCTATAGATTACGGCTGGCAATTGCGTATATACTCTTTAAATTTGAATAGTGTAGTGGCATTTTATACTGATATGTTGCTGTAGCGTACGAAGTATGAAACATCTTTGATAAAATTTAGCAAGCTTGTTTGATATATTCCATTTACAATGCTGACATCTTATCATTGTATTTTTCAGCAATGAGCTGGTTAACACAGAACACGATAGTATATTAGCTCAGGCACAACAACACATAGCTTTTCAGGTAAGTGATGATGTAATTTTCCCTCCCTGGTTAGCTTTCTACCTTTTCATTGTTCATTTACATTCCTGACTTATTTTGTAGAAAATGGCCTTGCAAGCTGGTGGTGTGAGTCTTCCTGGAATAGGTGTAGGACCCATAGCATCCACAGAGACTCCAACCAAAGTTCTATGCTTGACTGAGGTATAATTTGACGTCTGAAGGTTAAACTTTTCTACTTCCCCGCTCCAAGCCCACCCCCTTACGGTGAGTAAATTTAGTCTGATCCTGCTAATGGTGTTTCATTTGGGGTACCATGAAGGTAATTAATGTTGATGAACTGATGGATGATGGCGAGTACGAGGAAATAGTAGAAGACATTAGGGAAGAAGGGGGGAAGTTTGGTAAATATTTCATCTCTAAAGTAGTTGGTTTTTGTGTTTCAAACTATTATTCAGTTTGTCTCACTCTCTTTGCGTGTGTTTGTGCGCGCACGTGCAAATGCATGCATGCATGTGTTTGTGTGTGAATTTCAACTTGTAGAACATATCTTTTCTTAAAGGTTCTAATTTCTAAATAAAATTCAGAGATGGTTGTCTTGAATTCTCTTTCTTTTAGTTCTTTCTACAGAGATGGCTAGAGTTTTTGTTTCCAAAGGAAAAATCTGTAATCATCAGTTGTTTGTTTCTTGTTCTTTGTAGTTTACTAAACTAATGTTTTATTAAAAGACATCTATTTTGAATGGTTCTTTCAAATACGAAAAGAAAGTTTAAATTAGCATTATCAGTGGTTATAAATTTGAGCAACTTGAACCTTTATTAATATTTGAAATGGATAGACACCAAATAGCAGGATAGAAGTTTTTAAAAACAGAAAACAAACCTTCAATTTTAATTCAAATATGCTATTTTCAGTATGCGACATTTTAAAGGATTAATACAACTGATTAAGCGACTGTTGAATTATTAATATACTATTGCAACATAATACTAAAAAAGAAAGTGGCCATTGTGTTATGATATTTTTGTGGATGAGGCCATTGTATTAGGAAATTTTTATTCCAAAATTGCATATGTTCCCTGTACAATGGGTATAACAGGAATTATCATGTTTACTGCTACAGGACATATTTACAGCTGATTTCCTATTGCCCCGTGTTGTCATGATCTTCAAATTATCATTGTGGATGGAAACATGCACATACCATTGTTTCTTCATGAATTCATAGATGTTAATACTGCTGAATTAATCTTCTTGTACTTGGTTGGATCTTGTAGGAGTCTTGACGGATGTCATTATTCCCCGCCCAGCTCCTAATGGGGAGCAGGTTCCAGGTGTTGGAAAGGTATACTGATTTTGTTCTGTTGAATCTAAACAATGGATTTCTGTTTAGCATATTGAATCCTGAACTCAATCACAGCCGTTTCTTTATGTACGTATATTAAAACATCATCTTCTTTAAAAAGTGATATGAATTCAGGGTAAGACATTTTTCTACTCTACATTTCTTGGTTGTTTGATTGGTTCTAGTTTTTTGAAATCATAGAAGCAAAAGGTTTTCTCTTTAATGTCACTTGAATAGCCCCATTCATAACTTACGATGCATTCTAGGTTTACAGGAGATGTGAAAATTCAAGATTTAAATACATATTTTGAGGTGGTCACACTTATGAGTCTACTCAACCTAATGAATTTATAAAAACTAAATGGGCATAGTCTAATTCAAGTGGAGCTCTAATAAGTCCCCAAGGGATTGCACTAGTTATACATTACCCACCAAAATCAGGCTGGAAGTTTGTTGCAATTCAAGTTAAATCCCTCTACATATAAGTATAGTGTGTTTTTATGATTGTGTACTGTTGGTGTTATAAGGGTATGCCCCCCCCCCCCCCCCGGTACCCCTTTAGGTCGTAGTCTGAGCTTTTATAGAAATGATTTTTACCACAAAAAAAAATAAATAAAGAAAAAATAAAGATGACCTCAACAAAATTGGAACTATACTTGGTACAAGGGTCAAACAAGTTCAACCCGCACACACTTTTTCCTTAAGGGTAAAGATTTTATCTCTATGTTGATTACTGCAAATAAGATGAGGAAAATATAAGACCTGACAGTATATATGTTCAGTGGCCATGTGTGGTTTCACATCATGTAGAGTTCTGTTGTATCAAGCATGTCCTGATCAGGGGTAGTAACTTAATAAGGTGGCAGTTTGATGTAGTACTTTTTCACAAGCACTTCATGCAACCAATCATTGTACGTCTGTGCATTCTTTGGACGTTTTCTTGTGGAAAAATGTTCATCATGTCCACCTTCTCCTCCCTCGCTTATTTTATTCGTAGTTTTTAGCATGCATAATGTTTTGAGCAATCCAACTCTGTGCTTGTAATATGTGTTCATTTCCTCTTTCTAGGTCAGAGCTGCATTTAAACATGCTTGAAGTCGCTTAATGATGGTTTTCAATTTGCAGGTGTTCTTGGAGTATTCTGATGCTGCTGCTTGTGCCAATGCAAAGGATGCACTTAGTGGCCGGAAATTCGGGGGCAATGCTGTGACTGCTGTGTATTATGCCGGAGACAAATATTACAATGGGGACTACAGCGCTTAAGTCACAGCAAGTGCTCTCTACTCATTTCATCCTGTTTTTCTTCCCACCGCACAGTTTGAGAAGCACTTCTTAACGGTATTTGTTATTGTATGAATAGCATTTTTTGTGGTGTTAATCAACGAGCTAGTCTTAAATTAATTGCACACTTTCCATCACTTTGAGCAAAGTATTATGTTGCTAACCCTTCCTTTTTAACATTGTGACTGAGAGCCTGAATATCCTGCTGGAAAGAGCAAAACAGTTGGGGTTGATCCAAGGGGCAGCAGTTGGTTCAAGTGCTTTTAGGATCTCCCATCTGCAATTCGCAGATGACACAATTCTATTATGTGAAGCTCATTGGGGGGAGGTTAATAACTTAAAGAGGATATTGAGATGTTTTGAAGTGTTGTCAGGACTAAAAATTAACTACCACAAGAGTGTGGTGTGTAGAGTTAGGTTAACAGATGAAGCATCCAAGGAATTTGCTGATAAGTTCAATTGTCTTCATCAAAGTTTGCCCCTAAAGTAATTAGGACTCCCTCTAGGTGCAAACCCAAGGAGAAAGAGGACTTGGCAGCCAGTGTTAGCCAAATGCAAACTAAGACTTGCCTCTTGGAAGAGAAGATTCCTCTCTTTTGTGGGTAGAGTGACTTTGATTAAATCTGTGTTGTCTAGCTTACCTATTTATTATTTATCTTTGTTCAAAATGCCAGCAGGGGTTGCTAAGGAATTTGTGTCAATTCAATCCAATTTTCTATGGAGTAGGGATGGCTTCAGTAGGAAAATACATTTGGTCAAATGGAAGGAGATTTCTAAAAGCAAACAACAGGGGGTCTAGGGATTAAAAGGATTAGACTTATGAATGATTGCCTCTTATTGAAATGGTGGTGGAGGTTTGGGGCTGAACCTAATGCTTTGTGGAAATAGGTGATAGATAACAAATACAATTAGGTAGGTGTAGAGTGGTGTCCAAAACCTATTGATAACCCCAAGATCTCATGTATATGGGCTGACATTTTGTGTGTTGCTAGAACCAGACCTGATCTGGTGGGATTCTTTAAAGAAAACTCTGCTCCAGTGATTGGGGATGGGAAAAACACTCTGTTCTGGAGAGGTACATGGTGTAATAATGTGTGCTTGATGGAAGTTTTCCCTAGGCTCTATTCCTTGTCTTTGGAAAAGTTTGATTGTATGAATGTGATGCATATCAAAAGAAATAGTGAAAGTGGAGTGGAACCTCAATTTTAGAAGATCACTTTTTCAATGGGAGGTGGAGGATTTGAATAGGTTGAAACTGCTGCTGAGTAATGCTCTAGTCCTTAAGGAAAATATGGCTGATGCTTTGCATTAGAAAGCAGACCCATCAGGATACTTCACTGTGTCCTCTGCTTATAAGTGGTGCGATAATTCCTTAGGTACAGTATGTAAGGTTTCAGATCTGTTATGGAACAATGTTTCTTCACCTAAAGCTCAATTCTTTGGTTGGTTGGCATGGAAAGGAAGGCTAAAGACTTCCAGCTTTTTGCAACGAATTAGAGTGCTCTCTGATGAGGCCAATGTGAGTTGCATTTTCTGCAATGAGGAAGTGGAGAGTGTAAATCATGTGCTTCTTCTTTGCCCTTTTGTTTGGAAGGTTTGGTCACATATGCTAAAATGGTGGGAATTACAGTGGGTTCAACCTGATACTGTGAACTGTCTATTAGATTAGTGGGCTGGTACAAGGCTGAAAAAACAAGAGAGGGTGTTCTGGAAAGCCATGCGTCTAGCTGTGCTTTGGTCCATCTGGAAATTAAGAAATGATTGTATCTTTAATGGCATTCATCCAAATTTTGAGGAGTTGTGTGAGGTCATTAAAGTGCGAGTTGCGATGTGGAGCAAAGATGCTGGCTCTTTCTGCTCAGGTTATTCAGTAATTGATATTGTGAATAATCTGCAGCAGGTAAGGTTTTGCATTAGGGGTGTTGGCTGAGGCATTAGGGGTTCTAGAAAGCCATGCCTGGTTTGCATTTGAAAATGGTTTGCATTGGTGTGAGGTCTACTGATCTAGACTAGTTCCAATTCCATGCTTCTTGGAGAGTGGTCTGAATCTCTGGAATGTGGTTTGCATTGATGTGAGAGTGGAGGGTGGTCTGCATCAGTTTGGCCTTGATTTCTTTGGAATATGGTTTGCTTTGGTGAGAGGTCTGTTGGGAGATCAGTGTGAGGCTTGCTGCTGGGAGGTTTACTGGGAGGTGAGAACTGTTTGCTCTAGAATCTATTGGATAGCAGGGCAGCTGGTTCTGATCTGGTTCTGATCTGTTTGCTTTGCTTAGGTAGGGGTAGTAACTGTTTGCTCTGTATTACTGTGATGTTGCTATTTCAGATCAGTTTGGGGCTATTTTGGCATTGGTTCTGCTCCTGCTGGTGTAGAGAGTACATAGTGTCCCTTGTTTGAAGTCTGTGTGGGAAGGCAGCATCAAACAGCCATGGTCACTGCCAGTAATTGATTAGAACTTATACTACTTGGGGTTGAAGAACACATCAGCAACATTTGTATATGCAGTTGTCAATGTCCTCCTTGCCCTTGCCTTTATCATGGCAATAATTCTCAGGGTTGCTGTAGTTCAAGGCAATGTGTTTGGTATGACTGTTGGGCTGTTGTAATTCAGGGTAATGTAGCTCGAGGCAAATCTGATCTGCCTGTTCTGTTTTGGTGCTTGAAAAGCTGCTCTGATCTCTGATCTGTTTTGATCTGTTTTGCTGCTGTGTTGGTTTAAACAAATCTGATCTGCCTATTCTGATTGGTGCCTAATGGATTGTTGTATTGTCTGTTTCTGGTATTAGGTGTTGTAGTGCCTTATTTTTCTGGTGTTTTTGCTCTGTTTGTTTTGCTCGTTGGTTTCTCACCAACTAGGAGGTTGAGCTTGTTTTAGCTTCAAACTCCTCTTTATTGATGTAAATTTTCATATAATTCATCAATAAAGTCTCCTTTTTGCCGATAAAAAAAAGAAATATGTGAACCAGCATTATAGAGTCTAACACTGCAAGTACTCTATGAAGTTTTTACCATCGAAGTCTTGTGTTCATGTCCTCCTTTCCAAATCAACATGGAATGTTTCAATTCTTGCTGTTTTGAGGGTTGAAAATAGTTATTGATTGTATATGGAGGAAAGAGGAGTAATAGCTCAACAAATCCTGTCGAAGTGGCCCTCTCCTGCTTTTTTCTATAAATTTTCTTAAATAATCCAGCTGTCTCCGGTTTACTGGAGGGTCCAGTTTTTATGACCAGGCCATCTTGGTAGTACTAACTTTGCAAGGTTTATCGAGCGAACCATTCTTATAAAAAATTAAGTTGATTGGATATTCACTACAACAAGTTGGGTCTTGAATGACGAAATTTTTTTGTCTCGAAAGAGCTAATTTCGTCACTATAGATATTTGTGACGAAATATTTTCGTCACCAGTTTCGTCATTGAATGTTTGTTACTAAAAACCACCGTGACGAAAAATAATTGTCACCAATGAAATTAGTTCAGTGACGAAATTTTTTGTCACCAATAAAACAACATTTTGTCACAAAAAATTCTCATTTTCGTCACCAAATAATTATTCAGTACCATATTTATAATTTTAGTTGACGAATAAATTTGTCACCAATGTTGATCATTGATGAGGAAATAATTTCGTCACAGTAAGATGCAAAGGTGACGGAATTTTTCGTCTCCAAAAGTCATACATGGGTGACGAAATATATTTCGTCGCAAATATATTTATATACGTGATGAAATTTATTTCGTCACAAATATATTTATCTACGTGACGAAATATATTTCGTCACCAAACAACAAAATCAATGAAAACTTTCATATATGCACAACAATAAATTTTGTCACAAAAAATGTTTATTAACGACGAATAATCACTTTGTCATAATAATAAGTACAAATGACGAAATAAATTCGTCACTAAACCTGTTCCATATTTTATATTTCAATTTCAATTTCAATTACAATTATTATTTCACAAATATCCCTGCTCATATCCCAATAGCCTTTTAATTGTACTAAGAAATCCACTAGCTATTATACATCACTCCACAAAAAAATTCAGTAAACAATTTATATTATAAATCAAATATATCCATCAAACAACTTTAGTAATATAAACCATTAAGTATAACAAAAAAATCATCAAAGCAAATCGCAAAATGAACTAACGTGGAATCCACACAAAAAATCAACACTCAATCTTGATTTGCAATTACAACTAAGTATCAGTTCAGGAAACAAAATTCAACAGTTGATCTTCATTTGCAAGTATACTTCCAAACGTCATCAAAAACCAATCTGCAAAGAAAATAAACAAAGAAAACATTAATATATCATCAATTACATCTAAACTCATATATAAATAATTTTATTTTATAAACCAATTTAGTAGAAATGCATCTAACAAATCAAAACTTCAAAGAGTTGAGGTGATTCTTGATGACGAAGCAACACGGATAACATAAGATGCCAAAAGATTGCAAGAATACCATATATCACTATCACTAATGGTAGAATATATATATATATATATATATATATAATAGCTTCAAAATATAACGTAGCATTGAGGTACATTTGATTCACAACAATGGGCTATATTCATTCATTTGGTCACTCGCATAATAATAATGCAAAAGTACTTGCCTCTGGAGACTCAATTAAATTAATAAATAAAGCGAAAATGAAAACATGATTTTCCAGTGGAACAAAATGAGGCAAATCAAAAGACCAGCATTTACATACCTGCCAAAGTACAACTTTTTGATAACGTATGCACAGAGTAATCCAATCTGCAAGAACAAGTAAAATGGCTTACAGATTTGCACAAATATTTTCTTTTTGGTAGCAAGAGACAATTCACAAGCAGCATACATTAAGTTTTGAGTGGAAGCAGCAGAAGCCATAACAACTTTAAGAGCACATCTATGAGGCCCAAAGAAAACTTTTTTTCCTGGGGGCGTATGCAGTCACAAACCACTCTAATAATAAGCTAAGAGTGTGTTTGGATTAAAGGGTTTAGAATTCTAGAGATATTTGAAATAATGATTCAAAATCATATAATTTAAAATCCAAAAAACTCTTCTTTGAACTAGTTTTGTATATCTGGATATTTGCTTACTTTCAGTCGAACTGAAAGAATTACAACATAAGATTGTATTATCAAAAATTCATAGAATCATGTAACAAGGATAGTCATAATTTTGATGAGCTAAAAAGAAACGGAGAAAAACAAAAAACTATGAAAAGAATATGAAAATACGAGTGCTTTGGTACGCAACTCAAGCTAGCACCAGCTAAAAATAAAGTTTGCTAAATATTCCTCATTTGCTTCTTATATAGTCCAATTGAGCATAATGAAGACAATATATGATTGGTTGGCTAATAGAAATTGAATGTTTGTATCAAATAACAAGGACAACACCACTAAGAGGGAGACGTTGAAGCCTCAAGAACAAGAGATATACCAACAGATATGAATGTAAGTTGTGAGAAAGCATATGATCTCAAGAAAAGACTTCTTTAGCCAGGACAAAGTGGTTGAAATGTGGCTTCACAGGTATAGCTGCAGCTTTGTTCCCCACTCTCAAGTTGATGCTTTTCCTTTCTCAAGTTGTTTTCTCTCATGTTATATTTGCTCTTCCATTTTCTTGTTTCTTCACTCTTTCTTACCTCTGCAGCTTCTTCGTTCTTCTCATAATCCTGATTTTTCTTGCTTGCACAAAACGGATTGTGGTTTCTTATGGTGCTTCTTTGGACCAAGTTGCTGACATATTTACCAAGTCTTTACATGTCTCTTGGTTCCAGATGTTGGTTATTAGTTAGTTAGTTACTCTTCTCTTTCTTTAACTATTATATGTGTGTGTGTGTGTGTGTGTGTGTGTTTGTCTGTCTAGCTTAGAGTTGAGAAATGAACATTCATTAGAGTCTGTTCTTTTGTTCATCTTAAAGTTCAATTTCAGAAGAAGTTTTCTGTGTTCTTATTACAAATTTGGAATACTAAATTCAGGTGGAAAACATTGAAAGGTGAAGAAGATTGTAAGCAGTGTTGTAATCTAGAAATGGATCAACCAAGCATTGGTTAGTGTCATACTGCAAATTCATTTTTTTTCCATTTTGAAGTTACTTAAATAGCTTTAACATACAAACATTTCCTAGACAGGCATGACAGACTGTTCTAGTAATGGTGTTGTCTGCCAAGCTTTTCTTAAGGCAACAAATGCTCAGAAATGCTCAAATCATCATGAAACAAAGAGTGACTATGAAAGTATCTGAAATGCTCGAATTCTAGAGAACTAGGTAATATGTATGTATGTATGATGGCTGTTTCTCTATTCAGTCAACTTGGAACTTGTGGACAGCCCAGCATCCCAAGGTGCAGTGGGCTAAGCTCCTTTGGTTCAAGCATCATATTCCTAGGATTAGTGCCATTGTCTGGATGGCCATTTATAACAGGCTGAGTACCATTGATAGGTTGGTTGTCTTTGGTGTGCGGGATACTTCTAGGTGTGTGCTTTGTGAGGCTGATGATGAGAACCAAAATTATTTATTCTTTGAGTGTTCTTACTCTTTTAGAATCTGGTCCACTATGACAGCTTAGTGTAATGTGAATTGGCCTAAATTGAATTGGAACCACCTTGTGAATTGGTTAGCTACACAGCTTACTAGTTCCTCTCTGGCTGTTACTATTTGTAAATTGGTCTTCACTTGCTCTATTTACTGTATCTAGCAGGAGAGAAATTGTAGAATTTTCCAGGCTACAAAGTCTATTGAGGTGGCCATCATCAGCAGAATTAAGGAAGTAGTAAGATACAGGGTGATGTCCATCAATAACTTCAAGGCTGATTTAACTAATAATTGGTTCTTCAAGGAATGGTATCTACCTGCTTCTGTGATCAAATCTGGTAACTGTTTATAATCTGCAGGTTGTTGGCTGGTCCTCTTTAAGGGATGTGGGTTGAGTGTTGAGAGGATTAAACTAGCTTACTGAGTGAGTGATGTGAGTCTTGTGGGTTGAGTGGGGTGAGCCTGCAGTATAACTAATTGTTTTTTGCAGGTTAGTTCATTGCAGGTTGGCTGGTTGTAATGTAGGGAAGAACGTTGAGCGATGTGAGATCCTAAATAGGCTTGAGTGAGTGTGGTAAGCTTTGAGGGTTGAGTGATGTAGCTCTACAGTCTTCTTTTCTAACTGTGTGCTGTGCTGGTTTAGCTGGTCCTAATGTTTAGGGATGGTGGTTGAGTGATGGAAGTTTTGTATGTTAGGTTTGTGTGAGTGTAATCCTCTATACCTGAGAATTGTGATTTGGGAGCTTTCTTCGTTTGAGGGCTGAGTGCTGTGCTGGTTTAGCTGGTCCTGTTGTGCTGGTTTAGCAGGCTGTCTTTGGTTCTTGTTTAATCTTACTATGTAATACGTTGATATATTTTGGTTTCCTACCCAATTGGGATGTCATTGGGATGTATTTTCTTTTCTTTTTTTTTTTGGAGCATGTGGCTTGAATATTATATAGTATGTTGTGTTGTAATTGGTTGCTCTTGGCTGGAACTATGTGCTTTGATAGTTGTTGGATTGAAGAGGGAGTGAAGTTTACTAAGTATGAATTGTTGTTGAAGTTTGTTGTGGTTCATTCAAAGTTGTTGTCATGTTTGGGAAATCAATCTCAAGGATCTACTAGGTGCTTCATTTTGATGCTCATTTAGCAGGTTTTGGGCTGCCTATTGTTCATGACCCCCATCGTTTGTATAGGGCTTATGAACAGTTTTGCAGTCTAGGACCATTTTAATTTTAGTTTATTATTCTACTAGTCTAGCTTGGGGTTGCTAATATGTTTGTTATGTATAGTTTCTTGGTAGGGCCTGAGATATATCCCTTGTAAATCTGTAAATTCGCTTGTATTTATTTTATGACTTACTTACCCAAAAAATGTATTATGTATGAACAAAAAAAAAAAACTTACAAGAGTTCAACTAAGGTATACCCCAGCACTTTTTATAGCAAAAATAAAAGTAATCAAATCCCATAAAACAACCTGCTTTAAAATTTTTGAACCATAGAATTATATTAAAACAGAGAATTTCATTTTAGTAGTAAAATTCAGCATCTTACCAATACTAGATTGGGGGGCTGCCTCCCTCGCTGCCTCTATATCGACATCAAGTGGTAGTGAGTGTTGGGTCTCCACATTGTCATGTAAAACCCCATTCGGAACAACAATTGCCTCGTGCAAAGGTTGAAGAGATGACTGCGCCAATCGTTTTGGTGGCATTGGTAAGCCCTAAAAAACAAAATACAAAAGCATAAACCATAAATACATAAAAATGGATAAGTAAAGATATGCATATGGAAACTCATCAAGGCCACTGTTGATATTTGTAATCTGATCCATCCAGTCCACTCCTTTTCTTCCTTTGACTGGTCCTGATAAGCTTATTTGGACTCCTTCTCCTTATTAATGATTGAAATTTGTATGCAAGTAACAAAAATATTCACTCTTTGCTATCTCCTGATTTTTTTAATTCACTTCATTATTTTTACTTCTATTGGTTACTAAAGTTACATTCCCTATATTGGGTTTTAGTTTTACTAATTTTTAACCCTTCTCACACAGTGCTTCTCATTTCTAGGCACTATCTTTATGTTCATAATCAATTTTACTATTACTTGTACAAATGAAGTCTTAAGTGCCAAAATATGGCACTTAGTAAAATACTTAAATCTGAAGTTTGCAAGAATATGCAGGTTCATAAAACTGCCCGAATTCAGCAGCCAGTCAAAACTTTCCAACATAACAAGGAAATTTCTCAGGATGGGAAAACTAGGGAACAAAACAGTTTGCACAATTACTTAATATTAGTAAATGTAATTAAATAGATAACAAATTTATAGAGTTGGACTAGCATAATCAAGCCGCGTTAGCTAATAAACCTTTGCTACAAATCTATTGACAATCTTCTTCTTTTTTTTTCCCCTTCTATCTACAACAAATAACCTATCTGTTTACTGTATTTGGCAGGAAAGAAACTCTAGAATTTTTCAATCTATTAGCTCTCCTGGTTAGGTGATTCAGAAAAAGAATTGTCAATCCTGTAACGTTTACAATTGTTTCTGTGAATAACTTTAATAAGAATGCCACTAGTGATTGGTTTATGGACAGATGGAGGCTCCCTTCCTCTGTACTGAAACTGGGGTGATTTCTTATGTCTAACTTTGATGCTATATTATAGCCATGGTGCTTGATCTCATTATTATTATTATTTATTATTTTTTTTTAATGAGAAGTAATAGCTAATTGTGAATTAACTTTAGGGGTAGAAAGAAATGGTATCTTTCAAGGACATCATGGCCAGCTTTCCGAAAGACTGCAGGGCGGCTGCAGCACTTCAGGATATCTCTCCCCATCTGTGTTTCATATGCCTTCTGCATTTAGCCAATGAGCATGGATTGAACATCCATGGCTGCACCAACTTCAACAATCTCAGCATACATTTATCACCTAACTGAGACGTGCTTTCGAGTGTAGTGATTTAAATCACCATTTTATTGTTTTTTGTTTACTTCTATTATGCATAGCATAGCTTGTGTTTGATGTACTAACTAATCTGTGGAATCATTCTCAAGTTGGAGCAAACGAACTAGACAGTGTAAAAAAGTGTCATCTATGTTGTATTCTGTCAACAATATTTGTCTAAATCTTGTGCAGATTCTATTGACAAGCATTTTTGTCTCTTCATACTCTCTTTACAGCCAGAAATCAGAATTAGTTATTGAGCATTTACATTTTCTTGTTACAAGTTCTATACTGAAAATGATATGAAATGAATGTTTTTGCTTAATGAACCGATCCATTAGAGGACTCAACCCTAAATAGAATGACTATATTTTGCTCTATTGTTTGCACAAT